AAAAAATTATGTATATATATATATATATATATTAACATAATTTTTTATTTTAATATTTCTCTTTTAATGAGTAATTAACAATAACAGTTTAAAAAAAACATATTTAAAAAAACTGCTTCCACTCTATAAACTACATGCATGCCCAAACCAGAAAAAGAGAAAGTATCAAAACTGTGGTCAATTAATAGCATGAAAAAAAAAACTATGCTTATTGATTAATTGAATCCATATCTTCTATTTTTTTTTTTTATACATATCCCTATCCACTTTCTCATTCCACCGTCAAATCACAAGTCAAAATACAAAGTTTTCAAGTTTTGGAGGTTTTGCATTTGGTAGAACTCCTACTCACATACACAAATAAACAAAATAAAGGTATTTGGTCAAACTTTGACCATATCCATGAACATACTCTATTTTTTTACATTCCACACATGAAAAATATAGAACTTAATAATAATATCAAAATAATAAGAATATAAAATGCAATATCAACCGCTTTCTATTAATTACTTTTACTACCAAAAAAACAAAACAACCGCTATTTGCTCATACCATTAATGCTCAGTCATCATCCAATTTGGCAACTTGGTAAGAAAAGGAATCAAATCCGAATGGATATATTGATAATTATCCATTTGATTATGGCCATATACAGAGCACCATTATCGACCCATCCACAAAAAATACACACAAAAGATATGCATGAAGAAATTTGAAAATAACAAGAAACAGAAACAACAGATCTTGTTGATGCTTTTGAACATAATTCACCATAAACAAAACAAAACGTGACAAAAAAAATTACAACACATAAAATATAAAAAAAAACATAATGGTCCAATTATCCGAGAACACAATACAATAGTTTTAAGTTTCTAAATTCTAATCTAAGTTGCCACACGATTGACCCCATCAAAGCAATCCAACGGTGATGATTCGGTTGCACATGTTATAGTGTCAACGACGTGGTCCAATTTAGTCATCTTCAAAACCGATCACATAAAGATAGAGATTTCCCACCAAACTTCCCTATTCTCTTCCCCCTTACGTTTCAATCTTGAATTCCTTTTGCGTTCACACTCACAAATATATATAGCCACACTTGTATATTATATGGTACATGTTATTGTGAAGTGTTTTTGTCACATATAGAGAAGCACAATTAGAAGGATAGCTAGGAAACTTTGTCAATTGAAGCCTCTTTTTCCTTTTTTCTCTTTTTGGCTATAGTAAGAGAGCATGGAGAACATGAAGATGATGAAAGATGAAGGGAAGGGTGTCCCAATTCACAGCCAGGTTAGGAAGATCAAGCAAGAGTCAGAGAAGATCATTGATTGGTCCCCTGGCAAGCCAGAGGTCCGACCTGTGCTCCGGGAAATCGGCCGTGATCGGCCGATTTCCCGGTCGCCGTTGGGGATTTCCGGGCAACCCATTTCAGTTGGTGAGTCATAGGGTCAGAATATGGTTAAGGGCTTTGGATTAGTATGTTCATGTACACAGGTTGAAGAGGGAGGTTTTGTTTGCTTCCCCTGCTCCTGTTCTGTTTTCCTCTGTTTTTTGAACAGGGGATATTTAGGAATTTAGCTATATTCTCCATTTTCCTTTTTTCATGTAAATATTAATAATAGTGTTATTGGATATATCATATGCAGTTTTATTTATTTATTTGTGTATTTAGATTTAGATTTTTTTTCTTTTCTGTTTTGATATGTTATCTCAAGTTTATATTGTTGGGGCTTGGGGAATTGGTCTTTCTGGGTTTCACAATTTTTAATGGTTCAGTTAGTTGCATAGGAAAAAAGAAACTTAGAAGAGAAGAAAGATTCAATTGTAAAACGCGAAATTCTTTGTTTTGAAGTCTTCCATGATTCTAATTTGGGTGCTCTGGTCTTTCAGGAAAGATTCAATTTTGTCCAAAGATTTGAATAGATCTTTAAGGTTTATATTTCACTCTTCGTACTTTATAGGTTTAAATATTTTTGCCGGATCTTTATAAACGGCAGAGAAGATTCATGGTTTCAATAAAGGACTTCGTAAAGTACCGAAATTCAAATACAAATTTAAAATTTCACGGATTTATTCAATTTTTATTAGAAAAAAAAAAAATATATATATATAGAAAGGTAGTTTTAACGTTTTATCTTGGAAACTCTCAACATCCACATTAATTACTCAAAAACAATTGAATTTGAATTAAAGATACATTGGATCAGCCGTAAACAATGGTTTTTCATTCGCCAATCAACATTTGAAAACTTAAGTAGTACAATGCTAGTGGAATCCAATATGATTTGTCATTTGTGTTCATGTCACGCCAATCATGATTAGGCTTTTTATTTTTTTTTGTTAGAATCATGATTAGCATATTGCATTTTGGGGAGAGTGGTTGGTGAATAGAAGGCATTGCTTAGTAATTTACCAAGAAAGCAAAAAGTAAGCATAAAACAAAAACTCTAATAAGATTCATAGGTTTCTTGATAAACTTAATTAATAATTTTTAGTGAATATTTCACAATGATAACATGTTATTAGAAAACACTATCATTTTTTATTTTTACCCTTCATTTGAGTGACCGATGCATGATGATCGTTAATGGCTAATGCCCCTTCACCATGCCTTGAGTCAAATTTCTTGAAAGAAGTGAATCAAAATCATGTAGAGGAATGGGTTAAAAAAAATTAAATTAGGAGTTCCACATGGCTCCAAGGAATTTGAAAATATGATTAAATATTTAACAGGTGTTAGTATATTGAATTACTTATTACTTAATTTTCTCCCTACGCAATAGTTTTCTGTTGATCAGCCTATTTGACGGTCCAAAACCGAAAGCATAAGATTAATAATAGTTTAATACATTGAAAGTAGAGGATGAGAAGATTTAAAAAATAATAAATTTACAGATAAAATATTGTGGAAATATTATAATATAATATAAATTATTAGTTTATATAAATGTAACATACTATTTAATTATTATTATTCATGTAATTCTGAGGTTAATTAAGGATATAAAAAAACTGAAAAAGAAAAGGTAGGTTGACCAAATAGTTTGTACATCCACAATTAATGAGCCAGACTAACAAAACTTTAGTTTATGCTAAAGTTATTCAACCCATCTCATTCCAAAAATTTGCTGGTCCACGGTAGGCTAACTTGAACGGTTTGAGTTAGGTGATTTAAATCCTCTATCTACTTTATTTATCTTTGGAGCACTTTTTGTTTGTTTCATAGATTCAAACTTTTTGTTTCAATTTTAAAATATAGTTTGGCCACATCTTGTGCTTAGTGTAAGAGTATTTTAATGGAAAATTTTTATGAAGCAATTTATTAATGGTTCCACTCTCTCAATCGCATGCCACCACTATCCCTCTCCTTTTGCCCTCCTCTATTGCTTGGTTTGCCCAAATAATTTTCTGTGTCTGCATCGATCACATGTGAAGAAAAACCCTCAAACAAGTTCTAGTTGCAAACAAAGATGTCCCCTCTTCAAAGAATTTAATAAAAAGCAAATTATCACAAAGTTTTAACTGAAAATATTTGAGATTATTAGACCCAAATTCTCACAAGAGACTCAAGTCTAGATTTTTTGCTTTCAAGTTATCAAAATTTCAACTTGGTCTATCTAAGAGGAAGATAAGAATTATCCTCTTGCAAAAAAAAGAGAAGAAAAAGTAAATCAAAACTAGTTGAAAAAATGGGGAAAAAGAGGGAAGAAAATAATTGTCGTTGATATATTTTTTCTCTCTCAATTTCACCAGTATGGTCATGCCGTTGGGGTTAAGCATTGAGGTGGTGTTGTTCTCTGTGGCACTCTATTGCACCAAGAGAGAGGCTTTGATCTGTAGTGGTTAGGAGAAGAGTGAAAACCAAAGAATGGCTATTTTAGACATTTCAATCTCAATGTTTGATAAAAATAAATAAATTAAATCATATTTTTTATTATTATTTATTTATTAAAATATCATTTCTACAGTAAAATTTAAAAAAAAATGATGTCAAACTGGTGAGGCATTTGAGTCGTTGTTTCACCTTAGAAGGCTACCCTTTAATGAATTGAAAAATTTTGCTTATACAAAAAAATCATTCATTTTCATGTAATAAATTTGAATTGTTCTTGAGATGAATATGCTTTATGGAATTTTAGTCTTTCAAATTTTAATCAAGTAATTTTAGTATTCCAAATATCATAATTATCTAATTTTAGTCTCTATTAAAATTTAATAATTTAAAATATATATATATATATATATATATACTAATTTGATAAATAATAATAAGCTAATAATTAAGAACAATTAGAACAATATCCAACTACAATAAAGAAAACATTATGTTTGAATACTATAATTTAAAAACATTATTGGGGTTGGCTTATCATTAGAAAGTTCTAATATAATAATTGATAATTAGGTTTATAAATATTTTTAGAATTTAGTGATTATGGGGTTGCCTCTCACCCTATCCTTGGATGAGATGTAGATAAAATGTAAAGTGTTGAATGTAAACGGTAAAGAGTTATATACTACATGTAAAATTATCTTTTTCTAATTTATATAAGTATTGAAAGTTGAATGTGATATATATATATATATATATATATATATATATCAAGTGATATATTTATTATTAACAAGGAATACACACGAAAAAGTTAAACTGGAAGACACTAAAATCAACATTGCGGACTTACGTGATCGATGTTGTGCACGATAATCATATGTGACATATTTTGGAAGCATTGCATAGGTTATCCATTAATTACCTATCTTACGTAATCATTTTCCCTCTTTCATTTCTTTTGTATTTATTTCATTTTTAAATTTATGTTTCATGATTGTATGTGAATATGAATTTGTTTTTTTATTTTATAAAAATAAAAGTAAGAGCATTCATGAAAAATAACATTGATCTTTCGGCTTTTTTTTTTTTTAATTCAATTATTATGTAGTTTATTTATTCATTTTGAATTTTATGTTTGTTTTTTTTCCTATTCTTTTATTTTTTTTTTCTTTTTTGCTTTGGTGAATGTTTAAAGATATACATTAATGGTCCTTGTAGTTATTTTTATTAAATTGAAGCTTTAAGATATTAAAAAGATTTATCTTTACTATATTAAAATTTGAAGGTCATTGCTTTGTAAATGTATGTTACAACTATTGTATTTTATTGATTTTTTTTTTCTTTTCTATCAAAAGTGATTATTATAGTTTATGAAAATGTATGGATAATATACCAAAAACTCGTGAACAAAGTCTTCCGAGGATAAATTGATCGTAATATGGAAGTGTATATTGACGATATCGTCATTAAATCTACACAACTTGTCCTAACATAAGTCAAAGCACAAAACATGGGCCTTAACCTTGAAAAATGCACTTTCGAATTCATGTGGAAAATTCCTAAGTTACATGCTCACCCACAAGGACATTGATGATAAATGTGAAGACTTTATCAACATGAGAAATTCACAAATAGTAAAGGAAGTACAAAAACTAACTAGTCGACTAGCATTGTTGGTTTGCTTCATCCTCAACATGGCCAAAAGAACTAAACACTTTTTCAATCTCTTAAAGAAACCAACTAAGTTCGTTCGAAATGAGGTTTGGAGAAGGCATTCGAATATTTCAAGACTTTCCTTGTCACACCTCCCATACTATGCAAACTCATAGAAAGAGCACCCCTCCTTTTATAGCTCATGGCCACAGAAGAGACAATTAATACAACCCTAGGAAAACAGAAGAAGCTAGTACACTTTATTTATTATTTAATTCTAAAAAATTAAGAAAGTTGATTAATTTATTTTTTAATATAAATGAGACTTGCTCTCCCAACTACTTATTAAATAAAAAAAAATGTGTTTAATCAAGAATATTTCTTTAAAAATAATTAATAATAAAAGATTTATATTGATTTTAAGAATCACTATAATCAACCTAATAATAAAAATTGGAATAATATGCACAATTCTTAAGTTTGAATTATGAAATTATGAATAAAAAATAATTAATTAAAAAATAAAAACTCAACAAGATTTTTAATTTTGGTCCTGTAAATGAAACTAAAGGAGTGCAATTTGAAAGAAAAATAATTATAATTAAAAGAAAATGTAAACTTTTTAATTAACACATGGATTAATTAAAATTATATTTAAGTAGAGAAAGTGTAGACATTATCGGGCAAGACATGAGTATGTTTTTGAACTCTACAACGTGGCGCGTGCATATGAGACAAAGTGTACCCATAAGGACAGAAATGTCGTGTTAGCGGCAGAGCATTTTTCTGCCAAATCTTAATTGCCCAAAATCATACGCCATCTTACTTCACCAATATCTATATATTTACTCTTATTTTGTGGAAACAGACAAATTATCTGATTCGCCACCCATCGTGCCCACATGATAGATGATATATCTGACACCCTTATCACTCACAACATTGCCAAATTTGTTCCATAATTTTAAAATCACTCACAATCTTCAATTACTGAATTCTTGGAATGTAATTAAGCCCCATTTAATTACTCTCACAATTTTTTTTATATATATAGATAGATAGATATATTTTATTCAACTTTGTTTTTTCTTCAATGTAACACGGGTTCATTCACGTGAGTCTAGAAATCTACAATGAATTTACAATCCCCATTTAGGTCATTGTGGTCCATTGATTGCACATAGGGTAATGGAAAGTGTATTTTTTTTTCTCCTTAAAAACATGTATAACTCGTTCTACGGAATAATTTTTATAAAGGTAAAACAGTATATCAGATCATGTCTTAAAAGCATAAGGACTGGATTAGTTGTGTTAATGATTTTTCACAACTAAACCCTTCTAAATGCACTAAACAACACGGAAAGAAAAATTGAATAATAGTAACCCATAACATGATAACACCATTGATCTATAAATCTAAAGGGAGAAAATCAAGAAGCAATTATTCTCAGCCATACACACAGGGCACATGGAGCAAATGCTATGCTTAAAAGGGCACTAGGCAATTCCTAAGAAAACAACACCTTGCAGACCGTAGATCAAATGGGATTGAACACACAACATTGAATGGTTTAATAAAAATCTAGAGGCAAATGAGTGTGACTTCATGGCTTCCAGAGGATGGTAGTCTCTGCGATCATGGAGGTGACTACATAGGGATCCATATTTGATGCAGGCCTTCTGTCCTCAAAGTAACCCTTGCCATTTTTCTCTGTGTCTCTTCCAACTCTAATTGAGCTTCCACGGTTTGCCACACCCTAAACAAAATAAATAAATAATATTAATTGCTAATCTGAAACATCAGGATCCTTAAAAAACAAAGTTACCAAGATCCTCAGTTATTGAAAATCATTACTTTATATTGCATGATTTTCAATGAATATATTTTTACATTATTAGAACATGTAATTTGTGATTAGATGATAGTATAAAATTATTCGTCACATGCATAATTATATTTGTAGGTTTTTACCCAAGAGAAGGTGTTGATGTCTGCAGTTTCATGTTTTCCAGTGAGACGTCTCTCGTTCCCTTTTCCATATGCTGCAATGTGCTCCTTGTGTTTCAATCCAAGCTTTTCAATGGCTTTCTTGATTATCTCATAACCACCATCATCTCTCATGGATTTGGTGCTGGAATCACCATTGCAAGTCTCAGAATATGAAAACATTTCAAAGAATAATCCAAAGAAGTAAAAATATATAACATAAGTTATGTTACCTGTAGTTAGTGTGAGCCCCAGCTCCATTCCAATCTCCCTAATAATACCAACAATGTAACCAATAAAGTCAAAATATGAAATATGAAAATAATAAGATTAATTATTCTTTAACATGCTTTAAGCTTTCAACTAAGACAAAGTTATCGACAAATTTTAGAAGTGACAAGGACATATCTAACCGGAATAGGCTTGGGATCAAATGAAACAATTGCTCCAGCTATTTCTGTAATCCTCTGTAACATAAAAACATTTCATCAATATTTATATTTTCACTAATTATGTTGATAATACGTAATCCTTCAAAATAGTTAGAAAAATGAATAAAATGTTAAATTACCTCCAAAATATAGCGAGCAGCCCACACCTCATCTCCAGCAGAAATACCAACAGAAGGACCAACTTGGAATTCCCACTATAAAATAAGGACAAATTTCAGAAATATTAATTTTCAAATTCAAGCCAATTAAATAGTAGGAATAAAAAAAGACTGTTTTTGAAGTTAGTATTAGTTAAGGAATTAATAAATACTGTAACTTTTTTAGTAAAATTCACGGAGCAAATGTATTGACAACAACATTATCTAATATTCTTACTGATAAAACATTGTACTTTTAATTTGTTAATCAAACTCACTAGTAATTAAGTGTTTGTTTATACCTGACCAGGCATAACCTCTCCATTGATGCCACTAATGTTAATGCCAGCATAAAGACAAGCTTTGTAATGTGCATCTACGATATCACGGCCATAAGCTTTATCAGCACCAATTCCACAGTAGTAAGGGCCCTGTTCAAACCAACATTGGTTTAGTTTATACAAGGAGCATGGATATTAAGAAGAAGAAAAAAAAGGAAGAAAAATAAATAGTATCTTTACTTGGCTCTTTTCTTTCAAGAGGCCTTGGTTACACTGTAAATTAAGCACATGAGTGCTCATCTTGCACATCAATTTTTTATTTTATTATGAGTAACATTTAATCTACCCCACTTATTCATGCACACCAATTGATGCATTTCTGCATATTTTGAACAAGAACTGTCAATAATTCCTTTTATATATTGTATTATATTTGATTAGCAGAAATGTATTCTCCATGAAAAAGAATTGTTAAAAATATAATTAAAGTGATATTTTATAGTTATTGATGAAAATGCAAAACAATTCCATAATTCAAAATCAAACTCTTATTTGCAAAGAGACATGAAAGAAGCTGGTTCTGTGGAAGATGCATGTGTTGTAACTTGTAATCAAGAGTAGAATTTACGGTTTCAAAACCAAGTTCTCAACAAAAAATTATTGGGATTGCGTTTTACTTTGAATTTGATTTCATTACAGAAGGGTCACTAAAATGTCATCAATATATTTTACTTCCCATCCAGGCAGTTAAAGAAGAGTTAATTAAAAGTAGGAGTAGTAATTTAATTTGTACTCATGTTTAATTGACTATAGGACAAAATATTAAAAACAACATTTAATTTTTTGCTTAGTGGAAATTTATGAAATAAGAAATAATTTGTGACTTTTGTCTTTGTTCAAAGATACTACGAATGAATTAAATGACCCACAATCTTACGTAACCAGCAAAACCACTTTGGGATGCTGAAGCAAATGAGAAAGACGTACAAGACATAAATTACTGCGTTTCAGTTATTGCAATATAGCACAATCAAATTTGGGATACATCATACATAGTACCAAATAAAGAAATGGTAACATGTAACTAGCTTGAAGCATTTGAGAATTGGGACAAATCCAAAACAAGAAAATACAAATGGAACATAAAAAGTAATACCAAAAAAAAAATGGAAGAAAAATCAGTTTAATTGGTAGGTGTGAACTCCCAATGTAAAAAGTTTGTACATTTTACAAAAGTTAATCAAGTTAACTTTACATGGCAATGATGGCATCTTGTGATTGCATGACATTTTGATTTAGTACATTAATTATTTACTTTAAAAAAAAATTACCTGTGGTCCAGGAAACCCTCCAAGTGGCCACCCAAGTGGCCAATTTACATCTTTCTGCAACAAGGTATACTCTTGCTCAATACCATACCTGTTAATATAAGGAAATATTAAAATATAATTTCATGTACACAATACAATATAAAAAGTGGTTTCTAAAAGGAGTCTCTAGAATCTGGAAGCATTCAATGGTTGAAAAAAAAGTAATGAATCAAAAGTGGGATACAAAGAATTACATACCATGGTTCCTCTTTAGCAACTTCAGGGTGACTGAAAATTTTGGCAGCATCATACCTCTTGTTTGTTGGAAGTGGTTCTCCAGCTGGGGTGTAGACATCACAAATCACCTATAGTTTTTAAATAAAAAAAAAAAAAGTTAACACTTGACCCACAAAGACAATTTGATGAACCAAGAAAATAATTGCTTGCTAAACTACAACTATATAAGCCAAATATTTGGCTTCATAATCTTACAAGAATATTATTGCCTCTCCTGAAAGGATCCTTGAAAATAGCTTGTGGGCTGTTATCCAATAAATATGACAAAAATAAAAAGGAAACACCTCTCATCAACATTTTGTGAAAAAAAATAATAAGTAAAGAGAAGTGCATGAAGGGTTTGAATCATACTATAGGATGACTTCACTGTCATCCCCAGGAGCTTGATCTGTGCTAGACCCATCATAGTTCCATTTGGGAAGTTTTGCAGGGTCACTCACTGGTCCAGGAAGAGTCTGCACATAGAAAAATCACCCAAAAAAAACTAATTAAAATAAAATAGAGAAAAATGAAAAGTTTACATAATTAATTATTTTTCATCACTTGTGATTAATAAAAAGAAGAAAAAAAATTACCCTGGCTTTGCTTCTGAGGTCCATACCAGATCCACCAACCCTGTTTATAATCACACAAAAAAAATTAAATAATTTTCCTTTGCTTTTTCAGGAACTGATCATGCTCAAGAAATTATTCCACCATTCATCCATTAAAAAAAAAAAAATCATTGCTTATTGTGTTGTGTGTTTAATGGAACAACATGTCAAAGGAAGAAAAGTTCCAAAAGGATCACTCAAGACAAAATATACCCTGAATCAGAAACAACAGTATATCCATAAAGGGATTGGCTAATGGTAATAATAATAACTATTTTGTCCAATAAAAGATTTCATAAACAGAACCCGAAACAGAGTCCCCTGTTTTTTGCATGAGGCCTATGTGAGAAAGCTCACCATATGTACTCAGCAATGACCTTTTCTGTGGATTCTGAGAGATTGAGGTTGATAAGATCTGAGAGTAAAGACATGATGAAGAAGAACACTGTGAGAGGATGTTGCAGAAGATATCAATAGGTGGAAAAAAGGTCTTGCCAGCTTTTGATAGGGGGAAAGACTATGTTTGGTTTGTGCCTTTTTATAAGTGAAATGATATTATGATTTCCACACTACAGAGACGTGTTTGTATGTGCTTGGTGACCTTTTTCTTCTTCGTCGGTTGAATTTTGAAACCTCGAATACAATAGTGATGCTTTTAGTTTGTTTTTATTATTATTATTATTAGAGAGAGAGAGAGAGAAAAAAAATACTGGAAGTTTATTCTATTATAACTGAATCCCTGAAATTATTCTGACTTTTTTCATCTCAGATTCTGAAGTTTGAGAAGAAAACAATAAATAATTCTCTAAAGTTAAATTGGTAGATATCATGTGTTAGGTTTTGCGCCGCCTAAAAAATGGGTGAACTTTTTAATAAAAATAAAAATTAATTACTTTTTCTTTGTAATTTCATAAATTTAAATTTTAGTTTTTATGATTAAAAATATTCTATCTTACTTCTTTCATATACTAATTTTTGTTTTTTTATCCCATAATTTCATAATTTTATATTTTAGTACTTATAATGTCAAGGATTAAGAAGGAAAAAATAATGTGTAAAAGTTAAAAAATGTTTTTATTTATAAATACTATAATCTACTTTTTATTCTTATTTATAAGATTTAATTTATAATAATTATTTATATTTTTATATAAGAATTAATTTATTTTATCTTGTATATTAATTATTTTTAGAAAACATATATCTGATTAAATTATATTCTCTTAATTTGGTAATATACATTAATTATAAACTATTAATTATAAACTATTTAAAAAGTATACATTCTACTTGACTAAAAGAAAGATAAATATTAATTCAAAGAGAGAAATAATAATATATGATATATACTCTAATTGGTTAGAATATATTATCTTCATTTTTTTATAATAGTCGTTTAAGGTTGTTAAACATATCAAGAAGTATGATAAATTTTTATGTTTTTCATACATTGATTTTGATGTTTTCTACTATACCCTATTTCATTTTTGTTCCATAATAAATGCATGTTAATTGCAAATGAGAAATTTGTATTGGTGTTTTTTCGATTCTTAGGTTTGCTAATATATATTCTTTTCTTTTAGGAAAATTAATATGAATATGTTTGAGTAGCCTCTTTTTTTTTTTTTTTTTTTTTAACGAGACTTAGTCCTTGGGAACCTTTATGCTATTATGAATCATTTAGATATTTAATTTTTGTTCTCTTCTTGATCTTATTTCTTTACAATTTATACATGCAAAACGATTATTTCTCATTTTTCATAATTTTAGATATTTAAAAAAGTGCTGAGAAATGAACCTAAATATTGAAACTTAAAAAAATAGGCTTTAGCTTTAAATCACGGGAATATGTTTAATCCTTTGAGGATAAACTAGATTAACATAGATCTTAAATAAATGGTTTAATTAAATATAAGTTATCACAAAAATAGGAGTCAATTTAATTAAATACACTTTTGTACCTTAAGAAAGAACGGATAATATCTTAAATTAATTTACCTTTAAGAAAAATATATAAATATTTGAGTAAAACATTTAAACATATAATAACCCATTGAATGAACCCTCAATCCTGAAAATTTCTCTTATATGTGAAATCTATTATTACTCTTATTTTTTATTTCTAAATTTTATTTATGATTGATTTTAAATTTCATTTGTTCAATTTAATTAAATATTAATAATTATAAGGTCAAAAACATAGTTCTTATAAATTTAATAATTTATTATTTGACGACAATTATATACTTACGACTTTTTCACATCAGCAATTTATAATCCTATTAAAAATTTTCGAGGAGTTTGTGTTTGGTTTTAACCTTGTGTGGAGTCATATCCTTTCTTAGTTTAAACTTTTTGTAAAAAAAATATTAATTATTTTTCTTAATTTTAATGAATTAAGTCTTATATATAGAAATAGAGATAGTAAAATTTATAAAATTTTACGATTTTTCCCATTTCAAATTGATTGTAATTTTAATATTTATTTTTTTTATATAATTAATGAGAACATTAATATTAATTATTATTATTATTACTTTATCTTTTCATAAAGTATTGGATCACTACGACAAGTAATATATTTATTTTTAGTGAGAATATAAAAATCTTAAACTGCATTTATTTTAAGATGAAGAGAGTAGAACCTTATTTTATCTTATTTTATAATATAGGGAGCAATTTTATCCTAATTTTTTTATGTAATAATTTTTTTTCTTCTTCTCTGTAATATCTGCACCTAATAATCCTCTTCATAATATGATTTTCCCACAAAATTTTCCAAAAATAAAATATTAATTATAAAAAATTGAAATTGTAATGTAGTTAACAAAACATTAATTGTATTAATTATTACTTATTAATAGGTTTAAAATAAATACAAATAACAAAATTATGGTAAAATTTCTCTCACAAAATTTTCATAAAGAATATCCGCATATAGAAAATTGTAACGGAAATTCATGTAATTTTTCTAAAAAAAATAATTACATTAATTATCAATTATGAATTTTTTTTAAAATAATATAAATAAATAAACAAAATTAAAAGAAAACAATTTCTGAATTATTATTTCCTTCTAAACATACAAGAAGTATTATTTCCTCGGAATTTTTTTTTACAAAAGCAAGCATTAATTATACGAAACTAAAATTGTAACGTTATAATAAAATATTAAATATATTAATTATGGAAAGTTTTACAATAAATATAAATAAATAAAAATTACATTAAAGGATTCATGTAGAGCTCATAAAATTTTTTTATAAAAAAACTATCGTACAAAATAAGAATTTGTATTTAATATATAAAGACCAGTAAGATAAAATTTATTTATTATTAATTCAATAACAACTTTCATAGCTAAAAATAATTCTTTCTATACAATGCATATACATACATAAGACCTCCGAATGATTTCTTAAGATGAATTCAAAAATTAAATTAAATTTTCTTCATTTCTTTTTTTCATTATCAAATTTCTTCTTCCTTACTTTCATAATCATACGAAGGGGAATTTTTTTTGTTATCCATTCAATAACAATCTTTATAATCACAAACAACTCTTTTTATGCAAATATGCAATGTACATAAATATATAAAAGTATCTAAAATGGGAGTTACTTCTAAAGTATCTCCCTTTCACTTTTTAATGGGTTTTATTGTATCACATTACACATAAGTAACTCATATTATATTTTTACAATTTATATTCCAATAGGGTTGCTTCTAAGCACCCACACTTTTTGCCAATCTTTACCATCTTCTCTTCCTCTCACTCTCTCTCCTCTCTTCTCTTTGGGTTGTTTGCGGAAGCTTTGGGTGACAGATTTTGGGCCGTTCACAACGGCGCTGAGTGACGGGTAAGTGTGGGGGGTGGCAACTTTTTTTTTCCTCCTTCACTTTGTCTTTCACTTCGTTCATGACGACAGATTGTGGATGTTTGTTCATGTTTTGTATGACTTTGCTTTGTTTTTGGTTCTCTGGTAACTTGTTTTCTTCTTTTTTTTTTTTTATCCCTTGTTTTGTTTTTGGTTCCAACATGGAGAGAAAAGGTTTCTCCAACCAATCACAACACTCCATGTGGAAGACTCATAGCCCAAGCTTTGTTGCTTCAGCAAGGGATGAAGTTAAATTTTTTTTAACTTTTTATGCCACATAAGTCAACTGCAATGAACATTTCTTATTATATAGTGCTTAGATATAAGGGATAGGTTAAGAAACCTCTATTGAAGGTGCTCTGAGACCTCTTATGTTATCTAATGTACACATGATTTCTCACAATCATTAATAAAAAAGAATTTATTATTTTAACTCTAACATAAATTTCTTTATGATTAATGCTTATCTTTTTTAAAGATCACAAGTATTTTTTTTATTATAAGCAATTTTAATTGAGTTCAATAAGATTTTCTTATAAGAAAAATGATTGTGACTCTGAATATGTGTGCCGAAATTCATTTCAAATTATTAAAATAATAATTTAAATCATAAAATATTAAATTAAATAATTATTTTATAATAAATTTATTAAAAAAATATTAATATTTTAACATTTTAGACCATGATTTGAACAACGAGAGACTCTGTAGCATCACTCATTAACAAAGGAATGCAGACGGAAGGTAAAATAAAATTATAAAATGATCAACAACGGCTTACTCATTATTGCACCAGAACAATTAAATATATACAAAGTCTATAACCGAAAAGAAAGCAAAACAGAAGATTGAAAATAACAGAAAACAATTACACTTGTATAGCTCATCAAAGAAGAAATGACTATTACTAAGATCCCCCCTCAAGCTGGGAATGAATATTGAGCATTCCCAGCTTGGAACAAAAACCTTGAAACACAGCTGGAGAAAGAGCCTTTGTGTAGATGTCTGCAAGTTGAGAAGTGGAAGAAATAGGCAACAATTTGATAACTCCAGCTTGAACTTTATCGCGAACAATATGACAATCAATATCAATATGTTTTGTACGCTCATGAAATACTTGATTAGAAGCAATACGAAGTGCAGATTGATTATCACAATACAATAAAGCAGGGCGAATGAACTGAACACGAAAATCTTCCAAAAGAAAAGTGAGCCATTGAAGCTCACACATTGTGGATGCCAAAGCACGATACTCAACCTCATAAGAACTTCTAGAAACAATAGATTGCTTCTTGGAACGCCAAGATATTAAAGATGAACCAAGATATACAGAAAAACCAGTAATCGAACGCCTAGAATCAATGCACCCAACCCAATCTGAATCATTGAAGGATTTGAGTTGAAGAGTGCTAGTAGCAGACAAAAAAATACCTGACCCAGGTGTACCTTTTAAGTACCGAAGAACTCAAAAGGCAGCTTGATAATGGGCTGAAGTAGGATGCGAAACAAACTGACTCAAGTGTTGAACGACATACATAATATCGGGACGAGTTGTAGTAAGATATATGAGACGTCCAATTAAATGACGATAGATTGAAGGATCATGAAGAGGTTCACCAGAACTAGCATGAAGGCGACTGCAATAATCCATTGGAGTGGAAACAGGTCGTGACGCAAGCATACCATTATCTGA